AAGTGGTCACAAGACCAGTCAAGCAAAGCAAAGCAAGCTCAGGGTGGAACACAAAGTCACCACACAGTCCGAGCACAAGAGTAAAGCAAAAAGGCTAGTTTACATGCAAGATCATATATATAAAGGTAAACAAGCAAGTGCAGGTAAATAAATAGTACAGTACAAACAAGATCAAGAAGTGAGCAAGTGTGGCCAGGAGGGCAAAAGACCTAACAAAGTACACAAGCGCTGATGATCACAAGGCGGCAGGGCCTTGGTGAAGATATCAGCGGTGTTGGCCTCAGAGGCCACGTAGGTGAGGCGGAGCAGACCACGCAGCTGCAGCTCACGAGCAAGAAAGTAGCGGAGAGCAATGTGCTTCGTTCTGTGCTCCAGTCTGTGATCCCGACACAAGGCCAGCATGGCCTTGTTGTCTACGTACAGAACTAGAGGAGAACGAGGCGGCTCTCCTAGGTTAGTCAGCAGGTAGGTGAGCCAGCGTAGCTCCTGTGCAGTCATGGCCCCTGCGTAGATCTCAGCCTCACAGCTGGAGTTGAGAACAGAAGACGAGCGGGTAGACCGCCACGAAACTGAGCCGGAGCCAAGGCTGAAGGTGTAACCCTGTGACGACCGTTGCAGAGCCTGGTCGTCAGCCCAAGAAGCGTCAGCGTGACCTGTGAGGACCACTCGACATCGCCCTCCAAGCACTAGCCCCATGCCCGACGTACTGCACACGTAGCGCAACACCCTCTTCGGTGCAGCCATGTGCTCTAGTCAGTGTCTCCCAGGACCAACATAGCGTGCGAAGATGCTAAGAGGGTATGCAAGGTCAGGTCGTGTGCAGGTCATCAGGTACATGAGGCAGCCAACAAGCTCTGGGTACGGCCCACTCGGCTCTACGGACTCATCCGAAGGGAGAGTTGAGAGCGAGTGGCGAGTAGACAAAGGAGTGGCCTGAGGCGAGGAGTACGTGAAGCCGAAGCGCTGAAGGACCTGCTGCACCATGTGTGACTGAGTCAGGGTAATGGTGCGCTGTGCTCTGTCCCGAGTGATCTACAAGCCAAGGTAGCTGCGCAGTTCACCCAGGTCTGTGCACGTGTGTCTCTTCTGCAGCTCGGACTTCACGTGGGCAAGTCCAGCAGTGTCAGCAGTGGCAAAGACCAAGTCGTCAACGTACACAAGGATGTAGAACGGCGGCAGAGAGGTGTCGGTGCGCAGAAACAGCTACGGGTCGGCTGTACAAGGAGCAAACCCAAGAGCCGCAAGTGTAGTCCTCAGTGTGTCGTGCCACTCACGGGGCGCCTGGCGGAGACCGGAGACTGGCCGCCGGACGCTCCACTGGGTACCAGGAGGAAAGGACCCAGTGAAGCCAGGAGGGCGGCGCAGCTAGATCTCCTCGTGCAGCCTCCCCTGCAGGAAAGTTGTGCTGAAGTCAAGAGAGTGAAGCTCGTAGTCGCGCTGAGCGGCTATGTGCAGCAGCACCCGAAGAGTGGTCATCTTCAGGGTGGGAGAGAAGGTCTGAAAGTAGTCAACTCCCTGCCACTGACTGAAGCCTCGAGCCACGTAACGCGCCTTGAAGACAGGCGGAGAACCCGGCGGCCGCTTCACCCTGAAAATCCACATGCCACTGACGATGTTCGCCCCAGGTGGGGGAACCTCGTCAACGTAGGTGCCTGTGGACTTCCAGGAAGCCATCTCTGCATCCATGGCTAACTGCCACTGTGAGGAGTAGGGACCCTCGATCGCCTCAGCGTACGATCGAGGAATCGGGATGTCTGGTGCATCCGGGTCTCCCTTAGGGGCAATCAGCGTGGACACGAGATGGGGCAAAGCAGCAGCAAAACACTGGAACTCCTCCTGCCTGTCCTCAAGGATGTCCGTGCTAAGAGCACACTCACCCCTAACGGAGGGAGGACAGACAGACTTAGACTCAGCAACGAGACTGGCAGCGTACTCTAGACGACAGCGAGCAGCGAAGTTGACAAGCTTAGAAACTAGGGCAGACGCAACAGTGAACTCAAAGGAAGGGTCAGTGACAACAGTAGCAAGAAGGCGCGTGACCGAAGGACTAGCAGCACGAAGGGAGTCAGACTCTGGGTCAGAAAGAGTAGGAAGAGAGGACTTTGGAGGAGATGGCAACAGGACACGCAGAGGAGCAGTGGAAGGACGTAGTGCCATCTGGTGTGTGCCGGGGATTGCACGAGGATACGGACGCGCAGCATGACGACTAGTGCGAGCAGCACGAACAGGCGACGCAGGATGAGACGCAGGCTCACGACGCTCAGCAAGACCTTCAGTAGGACCAGTGTAGGGAGAAGGAGCAAGAAGAGGGGAGGCGGGCTGTAGCTGTGACTGCGACTGGACAGGCTGTGGACACTCTAAGGAAGGAGCAGGACCACGAGAGGGCGGCAGACCAAGAACCTGCTCCAGAAGCGGAACGAATTACGGCCTCGGCCGCGCAGCGCCTCCAGAACCAGCAAGGACAGCACCAGGACCCCAGCGGCAGCAACAACGCCAGCAGCACCTCCAGCTCCACCAGCGCCAACTTCAGCACCCTCAGAAGCACCAGCGCCAGCAGCACCACCAGCGCCAACACCCCCAGCAGCTCGAGCTCCAGCAGCACCAGCTCCGGTAGGACCGTCAGCTCCGGCAGCCTCAGCAGCACCCCGAGACGCACCTGCGCCGGTAGAAACACCAGCGCCAACACCCCCAGTAGCTCCAGCTCCAGCAGCACTAGTACCGCCAACAGCTCCAGCAGGACCAACTCCAGTAGCCCCAGCAGCACCCCCAGTCTCAGCAGCACGTCTCAAGCGGCGGGCAAACCACTCACGCATCTCTTGTGGAGAGAGTGGCTCCCGCGTTGACGAAGCACCGCCGGCGGCCACACGAGCAGACCCAGCGCCCCAAGGCTCAGCACCCCCAGGCTCCGCACCTCCAGGCTCCGCACCCTTAGGCTCCGCACCCCCAGACCCAGCACCCTCACGCTCAGCACCCCCAGACTCAGCACCCCCAGTCTCAGCACCCCCAGACTCAGCACCCCCAGACCCGGCACCCGCAGGCTCAGCACCTCTAGCAGCACCAGAGTCAACAGCTACCTCGACATGCTCGACTGCGTCTACCTGGGACACACCTAACGGGGCAGGACCTTGAGGGGGGAGGGGGTCTACCTGGGGAGGACCTGGCGCAAGGAAGAGCGGCGGCGGGGGGAGGGGCGCAGTGCGGTAGGGGAAGAGACGGTAGTAAGGCACCGACTCGTCAAAGGTGACGTCCTGGGAGGACAGAACACGGCGCGAGGTGGGGTGGTAAAACTGCCACCCAGGCGCGTCAGGGGGGAAGCCAAGGAAGACGCAGGGAACAGCACGGGGGGACAGCTTGTCCGCAGACAAGTCGCGGATAAACGCCCGAGATCCCCAGACCCGAAACGCAGACGCATCGCCAACCTTCCTCGTCCACCGCAAGGCGGGGGAGGTTTCTGGCAAGGAGACCCGGGGCTAAAGGTTGAGCTGATACGCGGCGTACTGAACCGCAGACGGCCACAGAAAATGGGGGGCAGCCGCATGCATCATGGATGTACGAGCAACGTCCATGACCATGCCAATGCAGCGCTCAGCAATCCCATTTGCTGTGGAGAGGCCGGAAGAGTGAAGGTCTGGCGGATGCCCTGTGCACGACAGAAGGCTCCCAGACGGGCAGAGGAAAACTCCCGCCTCTGTCTGAGTGCAGACACAGAACAGGAAAGTCGGGGCGAAACTCTCTCTGATTTGGAGACGAGCTGCGCGGATCCAGTCGATCAACACCTCAGTCGTCAACCACCAGCAGGAAGTACCGCTCGCGCCCCTGCCCACTGACGCGGGCTAAGCCCCACACGTCCATGTGGAGAGTCTGCAGCGGAGCCTCTGTTGGAGGAAACTCGGAGGAGTGAGGGGCGGCGCGCTGTCGCCCCTCGACGCAAGGGACGCAGGTAGGGCCAGGCCCCGGAGGAAGGGGAGGGAGAGACCGAGGGAGACCAGAGACAAGGACACGGGACGCCATGCCTTGGAGACGAGGCAAGGAGGGGTGACCAAGGCGGTGGTGCCAAAGGAGAGTCTGGTGGGACAGCAGACGACACGAGCATGGAGCAGACTCAGGACCAGACCTGGACGCCGCAGCAAATACCTGACTCGACGCAGCTACCTGGGCAGACTCAGCAGCAGGAGGAGACTCAGTAGTAAGTGTGTACAGGCTCGACCCTGGCCGACGGGTGAACGTGGCCAAGTGTCGGCCTGTCCGAGCACACGTGCAGTGGGTCACTCGCTGACTCGCAGGAGTGAACTGGTCAACCCCCCTATCCTGTATGTCCGCTCCACTCACCAAGTTCGTAGAGAACAAGGGGGGGTAGAGACCAGACAGGGTGCCAGAGGGGGCTGCCGGGCACGGCAGGACAGTTGAGAAGCTAGCAAGGACAGGACCCCCAGAGGGGTCTGCCAGGGAGACTGCAACCGGCCAACTGAGCGGCGTAAGAGTGGTGCGGTCTCGAAAGAAGGAGCGGGACGCACCCGAGTCCAGGGTGATGGTGTGGAAGGCCTGAGTCGACGTAGTACCTGAGAGAGCAAACTCACCAGCACCTGAGGCAGCAGACGCACTGGCACCTGGGGCAGCAGACGCACTAGCACCTAGAGCAGCAGCCTCACCGGCACCTAGAGCAGCCACCTCAATGCCCGGGTCAGGTGGTACGCACAGGTAATAGTCACCCGCAACACTAGTATCAACAGCATACATGGCAGCAAGAATAGCATCAAAATCCAGATCAAAGATAGCAACCCCGGTCTTAGACAGAAATCCCCAGCGAGTGATCTCTGGCGCCTCAGGGAACTGGCAACGCCACGCGTCCGTCAGGCGACCAAAGCAGCGCTGGGTGGAGTGCGGGCCTCCGCACTGCTCTCCAACTCGGTCGCCGGTACGGAGGACGTAAGCGCAGGGACCAAAACCCCCACCGCGCTGACGCACAGTGTACCACTCACGAAGCTGCTGAGGGGACAGGGTCACACCACTCCGCTGCTGCTGGCGCGGACCACCACCTGAGCCAGTCCTCTGCGCACAGTCGCGACCCGCTCCACCTTAGCCGCCGCCGCCGCCGACCCCGCCGCCTCCTCCACCTCCGCCTCCTCCGCCACCTCCGCCACCTTCGCTCCCTCCGCCACCTCCACCGCCTCCGCCTCCTCCACTGCTGCCGCCGCCGCCGCCACCCCCGACACCACTCCCACCACCGCCCCCACTCCCTCCACTGCCTCCACCACCACCTCCACCGCCCCCTCCAGCCCCTCCAGCGCCCTTGCCCCCCTTGCCCTTGCCGGTGCGGCGTCTCCCGCTCGGGGCAGACGCAGCGCCGACTAACTCGAAACCAACGAGGTTGGTCGTAGGAGAAGAGGCAACAGAGGGCAAGAGGGGGGAGGGAGAACATCCCTCATAGACGGGGGTGTGAGGGTCACCACGAGAGGCTCCTACAGCGACTATGCTCTTCTCTATCGCTAGGAGGGCCTTCTCGAGGAGGTCAACGGTGAGAGTGGTGGGGCAAACTGAGAGGAAGTGGTCCCTGGCTATGCGGAGTCAGGGAGCCGGGTGACTATGTAGTAGACGGTGATGTACATGGGTGGGGGGGGGTTCTTGGCGCAGAACTCAGCAGGAAGCGCAGCGCGGTAGCGACTGTCACTAGTGCGCAGGTGTGTAATGAGGTCAGCGACTGTGGGAAAGGCAGCAAGGTCAAGGAAGAGGTACGGTAGCATGAGGCGGCTCAGTGCAGCAGTGGCAGGGGAAGAGTAGCGTGCAACTACAGCGTCGTACAAGGTCTGAGCACTCTTGTACAGGCTAAAGTGTGCACGCTCAGTGGTGGGTAAGTGGCGGCGCACAGCAAGGCGAGCAGCAGTATTGCGCGTGGCCCACTGTGAGCGAACAGTGGAGCCAGCATCAGCAGCAGGGGTAGGAGAGGCACCAGAAGTGAGGTCAAACAGGGAGAGGTTGTCCGCCCTATCGCACTGAAGAAACAGCTGGAGGTGATCGACCCAGACCTCAAAGTCAACGGCACGGCCCTCAGCATCAAAAGTGAGGACACTGGGGGTAGCCATGACTGCAGTGGCCTAGGAGGAAGTGAGCTCACCAGTTGAGGAAGGAGGGGTCGGGGAGCACTGGTAGGAACAGCAGCTGCTAGACAGTAGGGCGGCTCGGCCGCTCGGCAACTCGGCGGCAGGGCGGCTCGGCTGCAGGGCGGCTCGGCTGCTAGGCGGCTTGGCGGCAGGGCGGCTGGGCTGCAGGGCGGCTCGACTGCTGGGCGGCTCGGCTGCTCGGCGGCTCGGCTACGGGGCGGCTCGGCTGCTCGGTAGGCGGGCGGCTCTGCTGCTGTGCTGCTCGGCGGCTCGGTCGCTGGGTGGCGGAGCGGTAATGGGGCCGCTAGGGTAGGGCGACGGGGCCGCAGGTGGCGGTGGGGCCGTAGGTGGCGGCGGGGCCGCAGGTGGCGGCGAGGCCGCAGAGGGGCCGAAACGTGGCCGAAAGGGGCCTAAGCGGGGCCGAAAGGGGCCTAGTCGGGGCCGAAAGAGGGGCCTAGACGGGGCCACAAGGGGCCAGACGGGGCCGCGGAGGGGCCTAGACGGGGCCGCGGAGGGGCCTGAACGGGGCCGTAAAGGGGCCAACGGGGCCGCAGAGGGGCCTAAGCGGGGCCGCAGAGGGGCCAAAACGGGGCCGCAAGGGGCCTGACGGGGCCGCGGAGGGGCCTAGACAGGGCCGCAAGGTGCCTAGACGGGGCCGCGGAGGGGCCGTAAGGGGCCTACGCGGGGCCGTAAGGGGCCAGACGGGGCCGTGGAGGGGTCTAGACGGGGCCGCAAGGGGCTTAGACGGGGCCGCGGAGGGGCCGTAAGGGGTCTAGGCGGGGCCATAAGGGGCCGTAAGGGCGGCGCGAGGGGTCTTAGAGGGCGACGCGAGGTGCCGTAGGGGGCCGTAAGGGGCCGGCGCGAGGGGCCCTAGAAGGCGGCGCGAGGGGCCCTAGAAGGCGGCGCGAGGGGCCGTAAGGGCGGCCAAAGGGGGGCCACTAAGGGCGGCTCGAGGGTAGGTAAGGCACACGAAATGCTACTCGGGTAGGAGTGAAGCGCGCTCTGGGCAGGGGAAAAAAAATCGTGGTGGGCCCTAGGCAGCATTCCCACTCGGGAACCTGCTCGATACCATGACGAGAAACGAGAATGATTGAACTATGAAAGAGATGGGTACAAGTACTAACCCTAATTGGGTTGTACCCCTTATGGGCTACCCCACTATAGCCTACACAAATGTATAAGCTGTAATGTTGTGACAGAGAGGGTAGCGTAGGAGTCCCGCTCGCAGTAGCGGGTGCAGCTGCAGTCACAGCAGGAGAGGGCAGAGGCGGAGCCACAGGAGCAGCAGCAGGAGCCGGTGCCGTCGCAGCAGACGCCAGAGGAGGCGGAGCAGCACGACCTCCCCGACCCAGCACCTGCACGCTTTGTTCATGGTCCCCTACCGTCCCCTATTGTTCCCCCTGTTGAGTCCCTTTCCTCGTCCGAGTGGACTCGTCGTTCTCCCCTTAGTTGTGTTGTGTTCCCAGAGCGTCGTCGGTCCCGTTACCGTGCAGACGGTCCGTTCCACCTTGTTCTTCGCTCTCGTGTTCCATCTCCTCCTCTCCTTCCACAGCCCACTGAGTCGTTCCTCACTGTGCTTCATGACCCATTGTCCGACCACCTTCGTGCCTCTCGTCCTGTTGTCTCCTGTGTTTTGTCCGTGTTGGTCACTCACCCGACTGCACCTTTGTCGTCTGTTTCGGCACTAGTTACCACTGTCGATGGATTTGCCTCTTCCCACCGCCTTGACTACGCCGCTCACTTGGTGAGTGGCCCTGCTCATTCTCCGTTCTCTGGGGGTGCTCCTATTTTTCCCCTAGAGGTCCTCGAGGACAGGCAGTTCGAGCTTGGTTTTCTTGCGGCCGCTGTTCCTCATCTCTGCGCCATGTTGCTTGCCCCTGTGGGGGATCCAGATGCTCTTGACATCCCAATCCTTCACACTCACGCCGAGGCGGTCTCGGGACCCTGGGCTTTGTACTGGATAGCAGTTGAGGAGGCAGAGATGGCATCTTATAGGTCCACAAGCACTTACGTCGACGCAGTCCCACCACCTGGGACGAACGTCGTCAGTGGTCGATGGCTCTACAAGGTGAAGCGGCCGCCTGGATCACCTCCTGTGTTCAAGGCGCGCTATGTGGCGAGAGGCTTCAGTTAGCGAGAGGGGGTGGACTTCTTCCTGACCTTCGATCCCACCCCAAAGATGAGTACTCTTCGGGTGTTGCTGCATATTGCAGCTTAGCGCGACCTTAAGTTGCACTCCTTGGACTTCTCCACCGCGTTCCTTTAGGGGAGCCTGCACGAGCAGATTTGGCTGTTCTCCCGCCTGGCTTCACTGGCTCTTTCCCATTTGGGACCCAGTGGCAGTTGCGTCGACCAGTCTACGGCCTGCGTCAGGCTCCACATGAGTGGCACGACACACTTCGCTCGACCCTTGCAGCACTTGACTTCTTTCCGTCGTCTGCTGACCCGTCACTGTTCGTTCGCCGTGGCTCGACCCCGTTCTTTGTCTTGGTCTACGTCGACGACCTGGTGTTCGCCACTCCTGAACGACGCGCGCTGGCCTCCGTTATTCTAGTCAATTCTTAGATTGTGACAGTCCGACGTGGTGACCACAGGGTTGTCGACGATTTCGAGGAGCTCCCAGCCCTTTCTTTCCGCCGACACACCATAGTGAAGGCCCCACTTGGCCTTCGGCGTCATCTTTTTGCCGCGCTGTTGCTTGGGGACCAAGAACAGGGCCATGCAGCCTTACACCCGCGCCAGCGACCGGCCGGGCTTCTGCTCGGTGAGCAGCTGGTACGGCGTTGTCCCCGGCGGCAGCGTCAACCTTTCAAGGCAGTTGCGGACCCAGATGGCCTGCCGTAGAGCGAGGTGCCACCAGTGGTGCTGCACACCCATGTACAGCAACATCGTCCGCACCGACTCCACCACTGTCCGCATCTCCCGCTCCGCCATGCCGTTCTGCTGCAGGGTGTACGGGCAGGTCAGGTCGTGGACGCTCCCCTTGCCATTCACGAAGACGGTGAACTGCTTCCCGAGGAATTTTTTCCCGGTCAGAGCGCAGCATCAACACCGACTTCTTTGTCTGCCGCTCAGCCACCGCCAACCACTACACGAGCACCGGCAACGCATCCGACTTCTTGGCGACCGGCCGCACCCACACGTAGCTGATCTTGCGGTCATTCAGCAGCAAGAAGTACAAGCTGCCATCCTTGGCAGCCACACGGAACGGCCTGCACAGGTCGATGTGCACGACGGCCAGCACGTCGTCGGCGTCGGAGCCTTGGTCGGGGAAGGTGTGCCGCGCCAGCTTCCCGCTGACGCACGAGACACACGGTGAGTCGGCGCCCGTCGCCGACTTCAGGTCCAGCCTAGTGGCGACCTCGTGCTTTGCCGAGTTCCGTATGGTATCCATGCCGACGTGCGCAAGCCTCGCATGCATCCTGCCCAGCATCGACTTCGTCTTCGAGACGATCGCCCGCAAGGCCACAACATCCGGCGTGGGCGACGTCGACCCTGATGAGCAGGGATGCAGGTCGGTGCAGAGGACACGCCCGGAGTACATCGCCCGACCGAGCACCTCTCCCGCTGCCGAGACGAGCAGCATCCCGTCGCCATCCTCCTGCAGCTTCACGCCGTGCTCTTTCAGCTGGCCGGTCGACAGCAGATTTGCTCGCACGCCCAGGACATAGAACACGTCGGGGATGAGCACCTGCTTCCCGGCCTCCCCTTGCAGAGCGACACTGCCGCGCCCCTGGACGTCCTGCAGTGCCCCATTGAAGCCGCGCACGTGTTTCACGTTGGCACTCGGCCCTAAGTCGACGAAGACTTCCTTCATCCCCATCAGGTGGTGGGAGCAGCTGCTGTCGAGCAGGACCACCGCCAGGTTTGCCTACAGAGCTGCCGCCACCGCCTGGAAATCCTCACCAACCTCTGGTGCGAGCGAGACGGTCGGCTCCACGACGCCAAAGACGCTGACCAGTGAGCACGACGCCGTCTTGTCGACCCGCGCCTTGCCACCAGCAGGAGAATCGACTTCCTTCGCCGAGGTCGACGTGGTCGACTGCTTCTCCTTGCGCGGCTTGTTTCCTCCACGACGTAGACGACGACTGCTAGACCTTCCACGGCCTCCCTTGTCGTCGTCGTCGTCAGAGTCACTGTGGTTGGGGCACTCAAAGGAGAGGTGGTCGGGGCTGTTGCAGATCCAGCACTCCCGACGCCGACTTCCTCCTCCTCGACCGCTGTCCCTGGTCGACGTCTTCATGTTGACCTTTGTGGCCTGCTTCCAGCCACTGCTTCCTCCGCCGCCAGGCTGTCCGCGCTGCCCCGGTCGTCCTCCTTGCTTCGCCGGGGCGACAAAGTTCACCTGCGCCAAGAACTCCTGGGACCACTCTGCCTCCTGAATCGCCTCGTCCTACAGGATGTACGAGGTCAAGTTGTCCTCGTTGAGCGTCATCCTCGTGCTCGGCGCCATGGACAGCCGCTTCAGGAGGTTGTAGCTGCTCGAGAGTCCCTGCATGATGTGGGTGACAAACGACTCCGTCGAGTACTGCGCGCTGGCCATCCTGATGGTGGCGAGAATTCGCCGGGCTCAGTTGCAGTAGTCGGTCGCCGTCTCCTCGTCGCCCATACGCAGGTGCGTCAGCTGCCCCTCCAGCTGGGAGATGAACAAGTCGTCGGTGACTTGGTAGGTCGACTCGATGAAGTGCCACGCCTGGTGGCCGGCGTCGAGATACTCAATGCACCACTTCAAGGCGATCTGCACGCCCGGCGAGCAGCACCGCGTGATGATCATAAAGGTCAACAGCTGCACGGCGCAAAACTCCGCACGTAAGTCGGGGTCATCCGGAGTCACCACAGTACCTCGAGCAAAGTGGATCAGCCCAGCCATCTCGAGCTGGGGCTCAATGGCTTCCTTCCAGGTGAGTATCTCATGTCGACCAACGAGCGGCGGGGTAACGAGGGTATCGCCTCGTACTCCTGGGCCTCATGGCGTGTCCTCA